TTAACAGTTTTCTTCAAAATTCACGGCGGGGCTCAGCTTAGACCTCGCCCAGGTCTCTTTAGTACCGCAAAATGGGATTCGACGTTGGATCGTCAGCATTTGGTCGACAGTACCAATCCACTTTAAGCCGGCTACCAGAAGGTCATGGGTCAGATGTAGCGTATAAGCCGGACCAGGCCTTTCGAAACTTGTTTTTAAAGTGAGTTTTCCACTTAAGCAAGAATGTGTTTGCAATTGCAATTGACACAAGTTAGATTTGAGTCGTTTTCACTAATATCACTCATTTTTTGCGTAGAGCTTGAGATAAACAGACTCTTATTCATCAATAACGGATAGTCTGCAAAATTACGCAGATTAAAAGTTTCAATTATATATGCATTAATTAAATGTGGAAAATGCTTAAAATACAATTTATCCGAACGTCTTGCTATTGGAATAGGAAAAATCCGCTTTTGGCTCAACCTACTCTACAAACGTATCCCCCATTCGAGGTGTATCTTTGTCTGATGGCAACGAGCCGAAACGCAGCAAATCACAAGTGAAATAATTGCGTTTTTTCCTCGCCTACCAGAACAAATGAGTTTGGTCAGTGCTCCCATTCATGGATCTGACGACGAAGCAGACAGGCCATGGTCTGACTTTTTAATGAAAGCTCAGTCTAGCGTGCGTGGATTCTTAACCGCCACAGAGCAAACCCAATCTCTTCGTCTGTCTATCGCAATCGAATGATCGCGTCTCCGTCGGAAGTTGAGAGGCAGAGATAAAATAATCCCAAAAGAGGACTGTATGCTTGAGATAAAGCAATTTATTCCTTCTTTACAAAATTCCCTCAGTCGGTAGGTCCAGTCTGTCAGTGCAAGGAGACGCCTGCGAAGCCAGTTAATAGATTGGCTACACCAAAAATGTATCCGTCAGTGTCGGTTTCGGGAGTAATGTAGCGGAATTCATGAGTATTTCCTGGCTTAAATGAAGGGCCGTATTTGTACAAGAGTTTGGCACAGATACTACTGAGAATGTGAGAGTAGTATAATTGTTGTAAACTTTCATTTAAAATTGACAACCCGTTATATCCATTTTAACTACATTAGGGCAAGTGTTTTTTTTAATCTATTCGCAAATTATGGTCTATAGCTTTCACGAAGTCCATCATACGATGAACGAAAGCTAAGCCCAAATCCTTTGGCGGAGCAGGACGGTGAGCCAAGAGAATCTTCGTTCAATCCGACGGTCACTGGTTGAAGACAGTCCTTCTTCGATGTCCGGTAAAGCCGAGTTATGAATACCTTCCCACGTCTTTTAGAACCAAATGTAAGGTAGGCATGCATTTTAGCTAGTTTGCATCTAATCAACAGTCTTCTAGCATCATTCAAGTCTAAATAACAGGTTTCGTGTGATTCGACGTTGTATTTCGAAAAAAAAGTTGATTCATCATTTGTAAGTGTTGTCATTTGTGTGAATTAGATCGGGGACAATCCAATCTTTACTTTTGGATCATAATGAGGAGACAAGAATCCTCATAGATGAGAAAATTGTCGTTGATGCAATGGCGAAAATGCATGATTTTGCCTCTTTACATCCTTTTTTTAAGTGCCGAAATCGCCTCCAGCTCTGGGTATTGCAGTATTTTTTTGGTACCACTACAGATAATGACGAGTCTTAGATAATACCTACGCTTCGGCTTATCTTAACTGGATACACGCACATACAATTCACAGCAAACTGCATGGAAGCAGCAACAAGAAGTCTCTACTCGGCCGCATCCTGGGCTCCTCATCATGCCGAGCAACCGAATGCTCTTTGCTGTTAGACTAGATTTTTTGATAATTTCTACTCAAGATTACGTCTACATTCGTTGGAATGGTCGTGATATTCACTAATTAAGGAAAGCCAATTGATCGGATTGATCGGGTCGTTCGGAGGTAAAGTAGGTTAACAATCAACAGTGGCTCTGAGAGATGGTTTAGATTATGTATGTGTGCCGCATAGAAATGCCTTAATCTACACGAAAACACCAAAATGACAGACCTTCAATTAACCTGATCAAATCGCAATAGAAAGCAATATTTTGGACTACGTCTCAACAAATAAAGCATAGAATATCATTAAACAATGGTTGAAGAGTACATTATCATTTTGCAATAATTATATATTGTTAGGGGGACTTTCAATCCGTGTGAAAGTGAATGAAGAAGCTGGGTGTCATTCTTGTAAAATTCATATGATGGACGAAAGCTCAGCCCGTTTTCACCCGAAACGAGGGAGAAAGTCTCGTGAACTGTCAGCCAACCGGCTGCAGTACAACACAATTCATCCGTCCTCTTCTGGTGAGATAGACCGACGAATCTCTTCTTCATTCACCTTCATACGAAATAAAAGTCCCCCTAATAATGTTATTTTAGGAGATTTATCGAAACCCAGTTTCTCTTGGTATCTATAATTATATATTAATATTAATAATATTTTATAATTTCATTATAAATATGTTTATACATTTTTATTATTATTATTATTATTATAGGATTATTACACACATTAAGGAAAAATTAGCTGACTAAGAGTTGAGGGATGGTAGGGATGATGGTTATGAATTGACGATATGATACTAAAAACAACTTTCCCGCTGGAGCAGCAGAGGAAGAAACCGGCTTAGTTGTGAAGGTAAAATGAGTCTGACAATTGGGAAAATCTACTATCTTTCCCAGAGTTACAAACACCCATTTACGTTAAAATTCGTACTTACACTCATTAAAAAGCTCCGAGAAACATATCGACAAAATTCTTTTCCAGTTATAGAAAATCTGGACACAAATTGAGGCAAATAAATAAATAAATAACCTTGCCACAATCTACTGTTACATCAGACTTGGTGTTTTTGGCTTTGCAAGTTGTAGACTCACTTTCATTGGGTTCTCGATGAACCGTTTACAAACGTATTTACAGTCCAGACGAGACAATTAAGGCCCAATCTTTGAGCAGAACAAGTGTCTTAGATGAATGACGTCAACCGGTTTACTCTGACAAATGTGAAGCAATCAAGCGTAAGGAATAAGAACGCATTTTAAAACTTTTAATACAGTCTATAGCCCAAATTTTATTTGCAAAATACACATTCTTATTATGGGCAGATAGCTTCCATCCAACCAATCAACAAATAGAGTTTGCTAAGAAAGAGAATATGGCTTTCATTAAACAACACCAAGATGCCTTTTAATGAAGATGATCGTCAATCGACTCTTCTATTTTTGATGAATGATCTCGCACTCAAATTTCATGTTCTGTATCAATGCTTTCCATCCGAATTAAGCATCATTAGATGCCAACAGGTTCGGAGTAATGCATACAATTTGTTAGCTAAGGTTGAAAACAGATTTGTTTTTGATAAAAATTGAAATTAGTCATCACTTTGCCCATAAACCTCTTTTTATCTTGTACTCCAAGCCAGGCAGTGCCACATACTTTTGCCACTGTTGATAAGAAATCAAATGATATGATATTAAATAAAAATATATCTCGTTATTCGTATTTGAAATAGTAAAAGTCACTCAAGAATAGATAAACTTTTGTACAAAGTTTATGACCTTTAGCAATAAAGGGCTCGTTACAATTTATTGACCAAAAGAATTCCCTTTTATTTCACAATGCACCACACAAATTATCAAATATTTTAGACAAAAATGGCTTCGGCTATTGTTGCATAAAGGCAAATTTACCGACAGTCACAAACACTGTGACCACCCACTTTCATTCCGTTTGATCTCACCGGAAGCTTTGGGGAGATTTCCTTGGAGCTATGATTGTAGATTTGTGCAAATAGGTCCCTGTAACCCCAATGCATAGTTTATGAGCATTCGTCCGTCATGTGACGGACATCGTCAGACCAGGACACCAGGTTTTGTGATAATTCAACATCACATGAATTAGAAAAAATATCAGCAAGGATTAATCGGGGTCGCAGGGCGGTTCGCTGAGGACCTATTCACACAAATCTACAATCACAGCCTCCGATGGAATCACGAATGCCTCCCGCTCGCCTCTTCAAACTCTAACATTAATCTATTAAAAGATGCTTCGAAATTCATTTTTTTCTACACACCTACCTTATGTTTGGAATGTGAGCTTTTATGATTTTTTACATGTTCATTGAATGTTAATGCAAAATGTTAAATATTATTGGAATATGTAATTTACTTATTTTATGGTCTTCTGAATATTTATTAACTTTTTTATATTTATCATGTTAGTGTTTATTAAGCTAATTATTTTTTAGATATTAATTTACGCACCTAGGCAGTTTTTCTATCTTTTTTTCAAGATTTTTATCATTTATAACTTTGGATCATTCGGTTTGCTACTTACTTAGGATTCACTTAATTCTAGTGACTTTATAAATGTCATTTTAATTTTTCCCCTTACCCAATTAACCATTTATGTAAACATTAATTGAAATTCTACACTTCTAGCAGTTATAAGTCAATTATATCAGATGCATTCATCCTATTTCTTTTAGGCTGAGCAGAGGACTGGGGTGTTGCTAAGACCAAGGCGAAGTCGAAATTGCAGTCCACTTCAGCCTGGATGAGAAAACCTCTTATGAAATTCAATGAAACCGTCATGTCTATTTATATTATTGTGGGGAAATTCAACTGCCAGTTCCATTATCACCCTAAACGAACTAGGATGAATACATCTAATATATATGATCTGCTGATAGTTTCTAAAGCCTACTTACAAACAAAAAGTAGTCAATTACTTTAAAATTTTAAAAAAGTTATTTATATTTGACACTTTTTTACCCGCAATCCATATTTATAATTACTCTTGCTCTTTAGGACTTTTTTCATAAACTATATTTTTTCAGTTAATTGTTTTGCAATGATTCCGTCTATATACTTTTAACACCAAATATCAGTAAGATACGTTAAGCTTAGCCTGTAAATTTTCTGCCAAACATTATATCAAAAAGAATAATTTCTTTCTCAACCATATTCATTGTTTCAATTTCACCTATGACTTTCTGGGTTGGCATTAATTTGAAACATTTTTTGTACAAATAGCATCATTTTGTGAATCATCATCTTTCTAACCTCCCCATCGTTGATACTCACCTTCTCGGTTGCCACTTCGATCAGACGCACAATTCCGTCTCCGCATGCCACGGCAACACAGGCGCTAGTGTCGTCCAACACGACAGCATTGGCCGACCCTGGTTGTGACGCACCACTCTTCCGGCCAGTCTGACAGACTAGCATACGCAAAAGTGGACCGTCTCCGGAGGTCGAGGAGGCTGGTGGCTGAGGCGGCAGTTTGCGCAAGTCCCAGAGGCAGATCTCACCTTTGGCATCACAGGTCACCAGACGATTGCCGGCCTGGTTGAAGCGTACTCCCGTCACCGATTGTTTGTGATGCTGAAGCACATGTTCACTCAGACTCTGCCTCGCATGTGGGTGGAATAGAGAGATTTTTTAATGGAGCAAGTGTTGAAAAGCAGAATTGCTCCGATATTTTTGTGTGGTTTTTAGCAAATTCTGTTTGGGAACACAAGCATCGTAGATAAAAGGGAATGCAATAGAAAAATGGAACCTTTTAGTATTAATTAGAATGCGTACTAACTAATAATTGCAGGAGTGATGCTAGAGTACATTTCATTTCGTGGAAGGGATTCGTAAGTTGGCCTCACCGAAAGCTGTAGAAGATTGACTTTACCGAATTTTAAATGTTTTATCATTAGCTGTATGAATAGTTCATCCTTGGATATGATGAGATGTTTATTAACTTTATTATAGTGAAAAAATAAAGAAATAAATGTGAATAATAACTTATATAAAGATAAAAATAGGAATGGACATAGACATAAATAGATCGTGTGAATAAGATTGGGCTTCGAAGAATCCCTTAATATGTTCATGTGGTTGTAATTTTCCTTCCTTTTGAAATGGAGGATGGAAGGGATTTGTACATTGACCTCACCAGCTTGTTGATGAGCTTTATCTTTAGAATTGTGTGAAGAATTTCTCGGTGCCCTGTGAACTGATCAGGCGGTTTCGCAGAGAAGTGGTCCAAAGAACTCTGGTTTCCTGAGAGGCCATTTTACAAACACTTTCCATCCGCATTAAAAGAGAAAATGAAAGATTCTGCTATAAAAACATTAATGGAAACTTTTAGAAGGAATAAATGTGTAACATTTCTTTACAAATTGGCATTAGCAAAAAATGAAAGCAGATACGTAAAAAAGAAGCATCTCGTTACATTATAATGTTTTTCGAATAAATAAGGTGCACGACTATCACTCATGCCTATTTATGCAAATATTGTATAATATCTATATACCATATAGATGCGTAAATTATAGATTTCTGTCAAAAATGATCAATAATGAGATATTTTTTGGCTACAAACGACGAGAATAATTCCCCTAATAATAATTATAAGTAACTTTAATCCTCAACAGATATTGTCTTGGGACAATTATTTTCTTATTTATAGCAATAACTTGATTGTCCTTTAGTCGAACCACACCATCTTTATGTTCATATCAAGATTCAGATAATTATAATAAGGAATAAAATTTAATACTAGTCCTAAAGCTAGTGTCCCTTTGCTTTCCTAATTCTATTCCTGTAGAATCATTATATTTGAGGTAATGGTATGACAAATTTCTTACGTTTAATATGATGCCATTAAATTATGACTAAAGTCATTTTTCAGTGCTTAGAAAAATTTATCTTAATACAATTTTGAGTACACTTTAACCATATAACTGATAAATGTTCTAAGTAGTATTTGAACGGCAGTTCATAATGATTATATCTCAAAACTGTTTTGAGAGTCAGAGCAAATATATTGTTGTTTTTTTCTAGAATATTCGAGATATTTTACAAGTTCAGGAAACCGAGACTTATTTTTCAGCAGCAGATTCTTTTTGGCGCCTCGAGCAGAAAGTATAGGATCGTATTCAATTATAATATAACCGGCAAAAATATATTTATACTCCACATTGCCTCATGATAGAGACACCAATAAATTTAATCTTTTCACATTCAAAATTAGTTTGTTAAAACGAATTTTTTATTTATAAGCTGCTTTCTTGACGGATTATTCTGTTGCGTGAGTAAATTATTTTGCTGCCGTTACGAGTGGCAAGAATTCATTAAATTTAGAGACACCATAAAAAATGCTAAGCACATTTTTGAATGTTTTTAACTCATTTTGGTGATATTATTGTTAGTTATTTTAACCAGTGAATAGGAAAATGTTTTAAGAGGCGAGGTTAGATTATCGCAGATGGCATTTTGTGTCTTACTCATAGAATTGAGAAAAAATTCCATGATTAGTCCTTAAATTTATTGAAGCGATCTTGTATAGCTCGGTTCTTATTCAATAATTACTACTATTTTTGAAACAGTCTTGCAACGAATACAAAATTACTGTCATAAGTATTATACGAGATGTATTCACCCTAGTTCGTTCAAGGTGATGAAGGACTAGTAGTAGAATTTTCCCACAATCATATGAGTATAGATGACATTTCCATTCAATTTCAAATTGTCTTGCTTTCCTAACAGTTGTTCTCATCCCGACTGGAGTGGACTGCAGTGTCGACCTCGCATCAACTGGCCTTATCAACACCCCCAGCGGGAGTCGAACCGTGACAGTGCAGAATGGGAGTTTGACACGTTAACCACTCG